GAGAAACTTAAAAATGCCACTTTAAAACTTATCCCAGACACCAAAAATTACAATTAGTCAGCTTATATGGAACACGTTGGACGTTTTATTGAACAATACGAAGTAGTTAATGTTTTTGTAGAACTTTTCGAACCAATTTATAGATAGTCTGAACTATCAAAAATATAAAATACAGTTCGTGAAATTTCAGCAAAGTTTTTTTCTGAAAATAATATGGCAAGTGTGTATTTACTTTGGTGTGAAATCTGTAAAAATAATTAAGAAACCCTTGCAGATATATTAAGCTGAGTTTAGGCTCTTGTGATTTAACTTCTTATCCAATTTTAAACCATTATAGTTACGAGTTTTAGTCACCCTCCTAGTATATAAAACTGAAGTTGAACAATTTTAAAAAGAGTAAAAATACAATTTCGAAATTAAATTGGAAATGGCTGTTTATCAGGGCTAACACTTTTATCCGTTCACTGTGCGTCGGATGTCGTTTGTGCATCACTATTGTTAATTTATATCTTTATTGTAAGACAATAAGTTGCGCATTGCAATGCATCGTTTGATTGGCCGCCGTATGTCATTTCCGCATTGTCTGTTTATACCTGTCCCAAAATATTGCACATCGTTTGGGCATCAGCGGTCAATTATTATTGTTTGCGCATTGCCTGTTAATTATCGTAGATCAAAATATGCGCATCAATATTCTGAATCTGAACATTATATATAGAATGGTATAAAAAATAGTATACATGATATATAATATATTATATTATATAGACGATGAATAATTTAAGATTTTTAAACTTAAAAATAATAAGGATACATAAACATTTTTAGTTCAAATTTTAACAAAATTCATCAAAAACTCGAAAATTTAACTCTACAAAATTACATTTTTTACTAAAAAAAAAAAACAACAAATAAACTTATAATTCGAGTAAATAAATAAATAAATAAATAAATTGTATACAAATTAATTAAGCACTATAGAAATAATTTTATAAATCAATACTTATTGTTATGTGCATCATTTTTACAAAACGAAACCTGTTTATCTTGCCACAGTTGCATACTTACGCCAATGATTTTAAATGTAGTCAAGTTTTTGACGTTCAAGAGTCCGTAACTACATTTTGAGATGAGCAAATTTTAAGAACTGAGTTAGAAAACAACTTGTGCTTTTGTGTGTACACCTTATTTTCATTTTTAATATTGATGCGCAAATAATGTAGGACCTTTTGAACGGTCAATGCGCAAACGATATWTAACCCAAAAATCGAACGAGGCGCAACTGTCTTACAAAAAAGGTCAAAATTAACAATATATAGTTATGCGCAAACGACAACTGGCGCATTAGATTTTCGGATTATATATACGTCAKCGTTTGCGTATAGACCATTTAAAATGTCTTCCATTATTAGTATTAAATAGAAATGTCGTAGTCATTGTGTGAAAAAAATTACAAGATATGAAGAATCAAGAAACACGATTGATAAATATAGTTAATAACGGGTGCAAAATGCAAATGTAAAACATACTGAAACTTATCTCTTATCAGTTATCACTATTTCTTTTTTTGGTCACATAATTTTAGAGGAAATCGTTATAGATAATAGATATATAGGTACAATAATGATATATATGTATATCCTGTGGTTATGCCAATTATRATAATTATATTATTATTTAAAGCACATTTGATTATCTGAATATCACTAAACTAGACAGCCATTAAAATATACTAGCTGCAAAGTTTATATACTAAAATATCGCTTTTTGATTTGAACAATTTAAGGAAGGTTTAGATAATATTCAATATTCATTCACCATCAAAATTCGCTAGGAAACGCTGGATAATGCAGCTAGTATTTAAAACAATGGTAATATATTATTAATTAATATATTAAAATGCTTACGAAT